ATATATATATATATATAGAGAGAGAGAGAGAGAGAGAGAGCAGTATCTTTTACCAAGGACAAAAAATCTAACCCGGTAAGAGATAGCAATCATCCAGAGTCTTACCTGATAAGTGAGAATGACGACTCTTACTATGGTTACCGCTACCGTACAAATTGTTTTATATGACATCATTTTGGTGGACTAAAATAAGTGGTAGTGTTGAATTTTACCGGTAAGCACTTACTCTGGTAAGCATTTGGTAAACGACCCTAACTCAACTATTATTACTAATGATACGAATCAAGTAATTGAGTTATATATATAAATGAGGAAAGTTTATTTATTATGATAATATTTATCAAAGATTATCAAAGTTCATTTATTATGATCAACATTTTATATTAAAAAAACATCAAGATATTTAGTGAACCAGATATTTATTAAATATGATAATTGGTTGAGAATGGTTTCCACTAATGGTATAAACCAAATATTCACTAGACTATATTGACAGTTGAGATTAGTTTGTATCGTTTGTATTAGTGATTGATTTGTATGGTTTGTATTAGTGATTGGTTTGTACTGATGGTACAAACCATACAAACCAATCACTAAACAAGATACTTACAAGTCTAGATAATTGGTTGGGATTGGTTTGGATTGGTTTGTATTTAATAGTTGATTTTGTGTCGGGCCCACCATCTCTTACCCTTCCCAATCCAACCTAACCCAACCCAACCCAACCCAACCCAACCGTGAAAAAGAAAGTGAATTACACATGTGGTTTTAGAGGTTTTCATCAAAAGTGGAACCCACCAACATACCAAATTGGAGCTCCCTAACTAACATACTTTGGTGAATGGTTGCAAATTGTGTGATTTTCTCTCATATTTGTTATTTACTTCAGTTGGTTTTATAAAATCATAAAGATAACAGTTAGAAAAATTCTCAGTGACCTTAGAAGATCACGACTTATGAAGATCACGACTTATGAAGATCAACCACAAAACCTATAACTGTATTTGTCACTTGAGTTGACTCTCAAAATTCATTCTTTACTTCATCATATTTACCAGAACATTCGTTACTCGAGGTTGAAGGGTGTCTAATGACAAATTAGTAAAGATATAATATATTGAGATCTTACCCTAAAAATCAAAGACCACAAAGGAAAAAACTGTAAATCTTTTTTTATATATGAAAGAAAACCTTGAGGTATTGAGGTGGCACCATGGGTTTGAGTATTCTTAAATGGTGAATTGTGATTGAGTTTTAGTTGTCATATATTGATGAAGAGTTAAAAGATTGGAACAAAGTGAAGTGTATAAAAAAGATAGGTTGGATGTCTTTGTATCCAATCATGGGATTTGTCTCATAAGGTAGTCTTATTTTGAATGACCGTCTTTGAAATCTATGCCATGATTTGAATCAAAACCAACTAAATGGTAAAAATTATAATGCAAATATAGAAGTGAAACCAAGTTGATGACTTGACAACATGAGGTAGTTATTTATCTGTTGTCTTGGTGTTACTACTATCAAGATTTGACACACTACTCTAATTACAATTCAAATATTATAGAACGTTACGATAAAGTGTAGTATTTTTATCAGTTTAATATATGACATGTGGGTCATCGACTCCATTTGATATTAATTTTATTTTTTTTATATGAAAAATCCATTATCTTAGTTTGGTGATGTGGTTCTTCATGCATCGCCTTGAACTTCTATCATTGTTGCTAAACTTACGCGCTCCTCTAATTTTCACTTGAAATATTATAGAACGTTTCTTTTTCATAACTTCAAATGAGATTTCAACTAAATTTGTTACAAAATTAAAATCGTGATTTTGTCACCTAAGATGAGATTTCAGTTAAAACTGTGATTTCTAACTAAACAAACTACTAACATTAGTCAAACATTTGTAGAGTACTTTGCAACATCATTCTCGAACATAGTTAGATAACTTAAATTAGCATATGATTCTAAGATTGTTGTCAACTTCTCTTCAAAACATTTAATGTTGATGAGTAGTTGTCACACCTATTTGCCAAATCTTTTTTAGAAGATGACTTCAAATTTTAGTTTATAACATTCATTTGAAGATAGTATTATCGCCACCGTGTAACGCACAGTTTAAACAATAGTTTGAATAATAGAGACTACCAGAGACATAATGATCGATCAATATCAAGTGAATTTGCAAGGAAACTCGACAAACCTTGTTTTTTGATTCAAAAGTTTTTTTAAAAACGAGTCTACGAGGCCGTCTATTAAACGCTCACTTGCCGGATTTCACTTATCTTATTGAGTGTGCATGACAAGTATCGAGGATCTTAAACTATAAGAGCATAGCGATGATCAAAAATCTTACCCAGTAAGTGAAAGAAAAGAGTTTTACCGGTAAGTGTTTACTGGATAAACACACTTACCAACAATTCATTTTGATGGTGGAGATGTCACTCGATAAAGTAATTGAGGATTTGAGGGTGGTATCATTTGCCCGTAAGCACTTACCTTATAAGCGTGTAGTACATGGATGTTTGGCTTCTAAATGAACCTTTTGTCGTAAGCTTCCTATAAATTCATTATATAGAGAGAGAGGAGCGATCAAATGAAAACCACCATCATTTGTAAAAACCGTACAAACCACCCTCATACGTCGATTTCATTGTTTAATCTTATGAAATTTTTTCATGAAATTGTTTAATCTTGTGAAATTGTTTCATATAATACTTTTTTTGATGAATTTGTTTCATATATGGTTATGAAATTGTTTCATATAATACTTTTTTTGATGAATTTGTTTCATATATGATCATGAAATTGTTTCATATAATATTTAATGAAATTTTAATGAAATTATTTCGTGTATTTTTCTAAAATTAAAATAATGAAGATGATCATATCCATGATTAACACCATCCATAATGAAAATGGTTAATCAACCTCTCATAATTATAAAAAATGAACAAAATGAAAAATTATGATTGGTTGAATGAGGTTTTCACAGTTTTTACAAATTAAATGGTTTTTATTTGAACGCTCCCATATATATATATATATATATATGTGTGTGTGTGTGTGTGTGTGTGTGTGTGTGAAAATCAAACTTTTTTTAATTATATAACTAAAATAATGATGTTGTCATGTAGGGCTAGCTTAACATCAATCTTATATTTGAAAATGTTTATCAATTGATTATGTGTTAGTTTTATAAAAATCGAAACATATTAGTAAGTCGTGAATATTATATAATATAATAAAAATATTGAATAAATATACTCATTATTAACTTTTAAAAATCAACTTAAAAAATTGAATAAAAATATACATCAACTGGACAGGACTAGACAAGACAAAACAAGTGTCTGTTTAGTTTTTGCTACGACTGAAACTGGACATGACAAAACTAAACAAGTAGCCCTATTTGATGATTTTATAATCATTTGTGAGGACACACCTGATTCAAACTAACCAAAAAAAGGTATATCAACAAGATTGTAAAGATCATACAAAACGATAGACCAAAATATATTTTTTTGCGATCAATTGAGTTATCACTAAACGTATTATAATTTTTTAATGCACAAGTGATTCTTGAGATTTATCTTTGATCAGAAGTTTTTGCATGTTTCCCAACATCAGGTTCCAACCGTTAATATATAATTATGAACTTCTCTTCATGTTTAAATAAATAATCTAGAAGTCATCAGCTCGTTAGCATAATGGGATCCACTTGTAAACTGTCAAAATACGAGGATGTAAAATGTTAAATCGGTTAACCGAAGCCATCGTTGACACCATCAGAGTTGTTATAGAAGGTTTAATGCTCTTAAATATCTAAGAACATATCGAATAATATTTTGGTATCCCTGGAGTTTGCACCTCGACTGATCTCATGGGCTCTGAATATAACAACAAATAAAATCCTCAGTAACAGAGACTTGAAACACGTGACTTGTATCAATCAAATCTTTAAGATTAGGAAACGAAATTTTCACTGGATGTATTTTGGGATCTCTCCTTTTGTCAAGAGGGATAAAGAGTAGTCAGCTATATCCATCAGATCCTTAATGTTGTGGATCGAACGTTCTTCAGCAGCTACCATGAAAATGGCTCGTGCTTGTGCTTTCCTGTGCAATCTTGCTGCTTAATTTAAAGGCAAATCGAGAGAATTTAGGCTCCTCAGTACTTGTTGTCGATACACCCAAGCTCGTCTATAGTAACAGTTAGTAATGACCAAAAATCGGTCCCAGTCGAAAATGATAGGACCGGTCAAGGTACTTCATAATCGGTTATGGGCCGCCGGTCCCGGTCCCGACATTAAAAAAAATAAGATTTTTTTTTTAAATTTAATGATATATATTTTTAATATATTATAAAATTTACAATTGGGTCACTCAAATATACTTTAAAAATACGTTTTAATATAATTAAAATTACATTGTCTTACAAAAATACATTATAAAATTATTTGAAAATACATTTATTTATAAAATTATTTGAATTTTCGGACCATACCGAGCCGGTCCTTACCGGTCCCGGTCCTGGTCCTCCGGCGGTCCCGGGCCGGGCCGATTTCACAGTCCAGTAGCAATCCACAGCCCAAGGGGCATTATTATAGCCCAAGCCCGTCTATAGTATCAGTCCAGAGGCTTTGCTTCGACCTCGTCTCCACCGCTCCGGTCTCCACCTCGTCTTCCCCAATCCGTAGTTCCCTTCGAGGCTTCGCCTTGACCTTTCGTCCTTCCCTCCCGGCTCTCGCTCGATCGATTCTTACCAAAAGTATCACATCTGCCCTCATTTACACTGCTGCTGATTTAACATCTCAGGTACTTCAATTAAACCCTAACATTTGTTTTTTGTTCTTGAATTGCTTTACTATTGCTAACCTCGAATTAATCTTCGAGCATCCCAAGTTTCACATAATTCAAGTGTAAAGTTAACCGAAATCCTTTGATGAATCTTGATTCCTGATGCTAGTGGTGGAGGTGGGAATGTCAAGTGCTACGAACTATATTTCCTTAATTCACTCGTATAACCACTGTATGGCATAAGATCCATGCTCATTTTGTTGGGAATTGCGATGATCAATGCCTACATCCCATATTGATTTTCAGTATTGATTGACCCAATTAGCTTCAGTGGATGAGGATTAGTTTAGGATCAATAGGGACCATAAGTCATGTGGCCATAGTCAATACTGGACTGAAAGACAAACTAACTCTACAGCAGTAAAGCAATTTAGGCATCAACACACACTAGAAAGAGAGTGGAGTAATTGACAATTTGATAGTGAGTCCAGTTGGTCATGGTTCATGGTTGGGCTTGCTTACAAACTCAGCCACCATAGATTGGTCTTGAAATTGTTGATTCATTGGAGCCAACTAATGTTGATGATCTTAAACAAAGTCGTGTGGAAATCAACTTAGCAGATCTTCAATGCGGATTAGGATTTTGTTCTACGAAAGAGGACCACCCTAGACAATTTTTCTGGCTCCGTCCTTCACAATATGAGACGATGAGTGTGAAAAACCCCAAATTTCTTCAAATCCCTAACCATGGAACTGAGAAGGAAGGACACTGAACATTTGAATGCTCATTACTCATATAAGATCTGGGGTTTTGTGGTCTTTGCATAACTTGTAGCAGTCAATATCATGTGTGTTGATTCTGGTGTTACCTCTGCTTGCATGAAACATGAATTGCTAAGTTCGTTAATGACCATTTTCCGCCTTTATTGCTATGACAAATGCTACTACTCTGTTCATTCTGAAAGAAACATGAACATTGGGCAGTTCAAGAATTATGATGATGTGAATCAAAGATATCCTCCATTGATTGATACTTAAAGAACTCGTTAAATCGTACTAATTGTTCAAGAATTTAGTGTTGATTAATCTTTGTCATAGACTCAAAGGAGAGGCAGACCGAGACTTTAAAGTTTAAAATAGTGTTTATTGCATCAGTTTGGTTTTTTGTCCTGAAACTTGTGTACTTCTTTTGAAGTTATTGGACAAATGTCTAAAGGGCTTATCTGGGCAACAACAGAGGATTTGGCAAGAAATAGGGGAAAGGTTCTTTCACTGTATCGACAAGTACTGAGGAGCCTGAATTCTCCCGATTTGCCTTTAAATTTAGCAGCAAGATTGCACAGGAAAGCACAAGCACGAGCCATTTTCATGGTGGCCGCTGAAGAGCGTTCCATCCACAACATTAAAGATCTGATGGATATAGCTGACTACTCTTTATCCCTCTTGAGAAAAGGAGAAATCCCTAAATACATTCAGTGAAAATTTCGTATCCTAATCTTAAAGATTTGATTGATATAAGTCGCCAGGTTCGAGTCTCCGTTACTGAGGATTTTATTGGTTGTTATCTTCAGAGCCCATGATATCAGTCGAGGTGCAACCCTAGGGATACCAAAATATTATTCAATATGTTCTTAGATATTTAAGAGCATTAAATAATTGGATATTTTATTATATTTTTTTTCTTTTTTATCAAGTCGATTTTTAAAATTTTAATAATAGGTATATTTACTTTTACTATATTGTACATTTTACAACTTATTAATATAGTTAAACTTTATAAAATTAACTTATTATCAATTGATAAATATTTTCAAATATAAGATCAACGTTATAAACAACTGACAAATATTTTCAAGTATAAGATAAACGTTAAAGCCCTGAATGTTAGTCAAAGTATTAACTAAAACTGATAACCCAAAAAAAAAACTCTTTCACTCTCTCAAAATAACACAAATTAAAATAAAATAAAGATGTAGGACATAGAGATGTATTGTGCTAAATTACATTTTGCATCGTGTATATTATCATATGTGATAAGGATGTTCTCATGTTCTCATAAAATGAAGGTGTTCTCGTTTGAACCTCTACATGCACACACATATTACCCAATAAGTGTTTATCAAGTCACATTACTTTATTGGATGAACATAGCAAAAACCAAGAATCTAACCCGGTAACCAAAAATCTAACCCGGTAAGAGATAAGGCAATCACCCAAAGTATTATACAATAAGTGAGGATGACGACTCTTACCACGGTTAGTGCTTACCGGGCAAATTGTTGCATATAATATGATTTTGGTGGACTAGAATAATTTTATCGGTAAACACTTACTCGAATGAGTGTTTGGTAAACGACCCTAACTCAATTATTATTACTAATGATACAAATCTAGTAATTGAGTTATATATAAAAATGAGAAGAGTTTATTTATTATGATAATATTTATCGAAGATTATCAGAGTTCATTTATTATGATTAACGTTTTATATTAAAAAATGATCAACATATTCAGTGAATCAGATGTTTATTAAATATGATAATTGGTTGAGAATGGTTTCTACTAATGGTACAAACCAATCATTGAACCAAATACTCATTAGACTAGATGGACAATAGAGATTAATTTGTAAGGTTTGTATTAATGATTGGTTTATGTTGATGGTACAAACCATACAAACCAATCACTGAACAAAATACTTACTAGACTATATGAATGGTTAAGATTGGTTTGTATTAATGATTGATTAGTATGTTTTGTATTAATAACTGGTTTATATGGTCTGTACTAATTATTGGATTTGTAAATGAACACAACTATATATATAGAGAGAGAGAGAGAGAGAGTTTGTTTCAAATACAACTCGTCGTATTTGTACAACCAATGCAACCCAATAAATTGAAATATTTATGGAAATTATAAGAGTTTTTTTTATTATGATTTGAATATTTATGGAATATGAACATGGTTCATTAATTATGATCAATACTTTATATTAGGAAACAATCAAAACTTCTATAAATCACATATTAATCAAATGAAATGGACGGTTGAGATTGAGTTGTATTGGTTGCACAAATGTCAATGGTTGTATAATAACCAACCTCTATATATATATATATATAGAGAGAGAGAGAGAGAGAGAGAGAGAGGTGTCATCTTTTGTTAACATTTGTGTTAACTTATACAAACCAAAATGGTCCAATAGAAATCCATATTGGTTCATCGTTAATAGTTTATTAAATATTTAATAAGTATGAGCAAATTAGTAAAAAAATATGTTTACAAAATATGGGAGTTATATTGTTCCTAAAATTTGGCTTTTTTCAAATTTGTATGTGTGTTTAACATATTATGATGGATGTCTTTCACAAATGAAATTTGTATGTGTGTTTAACAAATTATGATGGAGTTACATTGTTCCTTGTTCATTGGTGAACATAATTCACCAGTCACTCATACATACACATTCAGGTATGTATTCATTAATGAACATTTTCATATATGTTATATTTTCATTGCTGAGCAGTGTTCATAAGCTACTTATATATAACATTTGTTCATCAATTCATAGCATTCATAAGTTACACATTACATATAAATAAATGAAGAAATAATTAAAACTTGATGTCGGTTTCAAATTACCGAAAAAATAATTAATGCTAAAAGAAACCTCCCTATTTTTTTTTTCAAATTACCTTTTGTTCATGATTGTTCGCTTTCAAAAGTTTGTTAAAGGAGATTTTATGTGGGGCCATCATCCAATGTGGCTTCAAGGTTTTCATCAAAAGTGGAACCCACCAACATACCAAATTGGAGCTCCCTAATTTACTTTGGTTTAGAGATGGCCAAATATTTTAGGCCCGGCCCGAAATCAATTGGGATCGATTTGGGACCGTTGATTAAGGGTTGGTTATGATTTTCATCCAAAAACAAGATCCAGTCTGACCCGGGACTAGTTAGTATTTTCGATTGGATCGAAACCAATTCGGATTGTTACTGTTTCAACACGGGACCGATTTAGGCCCAGTCCATGACCGGTTTTTGGCCATGTCTACTTTGGTTTGGTGAATGGTTGCAAAAATTGTGTGATTTTCTCTCTTTTTCTGGAAGTTAATTAAAACTGTAAATTTGAATAATAGAGACATAACGGTCGATTAATATCAAGTGAATTTGCAAGAAAACTCCACAAACATGTGTTATCTAACCACAAACCTAAATTCCCCAACAATACGCATTCTATAGACCATGCGTTTAGAGTTTTGAATTTTGACCCAGAATTTTTTTGGTATATTTGCTTACTTTTATAGATCTAAGTACTCTTTTGGTTCAAAAAATATTTAAGGACTTAATCGTTCAAAATATGAAAGTTCATTGGCTTTTTTTCCAGACTTTTTTAATTATTTTACCACATTAACTAGTTGTATAGATCATAATGATCTATCTAACATGTTTTAGAAAGTTCAATGAGTTATTTAACATGTTTTAAAATGTTCAAAAACTTATTTGTTCCAAAAAATTGTTCAAGAACTTAATCATTCCAAACACTAAGGTCCATTGGATTTTTTTAGATTTTTTCGTATATTGATTTAGATATCATAGGGACAAAAACCCAACAAACAACAATATACAAGGGATCAAAAATGTAATACACTTTTTTCAAAAGCAAAATCGTCCATGACTTGTGGGATGTGAAATGTAAGCATAATCTAAGGGTCCAAGTGTCTTGCCATCTTCTAATCGCTGCTGATTTACGGTCACAAAGAATCGTCTTTGTCTCCAACCCAAGTTGACCCATCTCGTCTCGATAAACACACAAATGAATTGTGATTTATAATCACTTTCTCTCTTCTTTTTCCTTTGATATCTCCCCTTCTTTTATTGCGACATGGGACAAATCCTCGAAAAACTTCAAGGTGATTCTGTTTCTTACTCAACTTTCTTCTAAATTTTGATCTGTTTCTGCTAGTTATGTTGTAAGTTTCATCGTTTTTCTATTAGGGTCGTGTTTTAATTTGAAGATTGGTTATATTTTTGCAATAAACATAAATTGAATCGCGTTCTTCGACCATGCCCAGATCCTGTTTTTGTTTTTCTTCAGTTTTTGGTCCGTAGGTGCTGGTTCTGTTTGTAATTTCTATCGTTTTTTATTTGGGTTTTGTTTAATTTGAAGATTGATCGATTGTATATGTTCATTGAATCCCTTTTCCTGGGTTATTCCCAATTCCTGCTTCTTCTTTCTGGATTCTAATCTATTACATGCTGGTTCTATTGTAATTCCAAGTCATTTTGGTTTTGTTCAATTCGAAGATTAGTTGATTCTGTATGATCTTTTGCTAATAAATGCATAAAACATTTGAAGTAAATTGAACAACTGTTTTGGCCCATATCATTGCTTTTCAAATTTTGTGTACTTTTGTATCTGTATATGCTGATTCAGAATCATTTTTGGAATTGGATTTTGTTGAATCTGAAGATGAATCGGTTTCGTATAATCTTTTGAAATGAATCTGTAGACCTTATGATGTTATATGCTGGTTTTGTTGTAGTTCTACCATTTGAATTTTGGGTTTTGTTCAATGTGAAGATAAGATTGATTCTTGGTTATAAATGTGTAGAACTTTTGAAGCAAATGCTTTATAATCTCTTATCATTTTCGAGGTTTTACACTGAACTCATTAGCAATGACTTGAATCCCTTTTGACAAACTTTTAAATTACAATTACATATTTGCGCCTTGTCGTTGTTACAGAACTATCGGATCCATAGGATTTTGAATTCTGTCGTTCGAAGGGACGGTCAAAACTTCTACTAAAACTACATGTGGAACTAAACATTCCATTTTTGGAATGATAGAGGGAGTATTAGATTTGACTACTGTTTCTAATGGATTAACTATGATATTGTTTTTAAAAATGTGCATGGTTATGATGAATCCGTCTTTTGATTCTTTGCAAAATCCGTCTTTTGGGAGTTGGGTTCTCTATAAAATTGAAGATTTGTTCTTAATAAGCTGATGGTTTTAACAGGTAAGCAATGGAGAGAAAAACAAATACGGAAGATAAGTGACAAGGTCTTTGATTATTTCAAGGATGATGCCGGAAAGGTTATTATGACGTTTGAAGACTTATACATTGCCGTGTTACTTGTGTACAAGTAAGATCATTGAGGGTGCGTTTGGTACTGACTTGATTGGACAAGATAAGACAAAACAAAAACTTGTTGTCTCACATTTGGCGTGACATTAGACTCTAACAGGACAAAAACTAAGTGGTAACAAGAACCTTCTTTTTGTCCCATGCAAATAGGCAGAACAAAAATAAGGGAGATGTGAGAGAAATTACTAAACTACCCATATCAAATTAAAACCCTAAAACCTTTTACAATTCTTTCACCTGCCTACCTCACTTACGCCAGTCTCGTCCTGGCCAATCCTGTTTGAATACCAAACACACACTGTTTATGCAAACTGTTGTATTTGTCCTTGGGTAGTGTGATCTTGAATATATGCAGTTGACTCTTTTTGTTGTAGTGATATCAACAAGAATTTGCCTGGGCCTCATTTTGATCCCCCAAAGAAGGAGGAAATCAGAATCTTGTTGAAGGTATGTCCAAGTTGCATAAATTGGTTTTGAATGCCATTTAATGTCCGTTCCAGTTGTGTGCGTCTTATTTATATGAACGTCTAAAGAAGTAAAGATGTGATGGGTGGGTCATTTGTAGTTGACGTGACGAGAAATGAAGATCAAACACACTCAAAGTTACTAAAAAATGGTATAAACGAATGGAATCTTAATAATCCATAACATTATATGGTTAAATGCCTCTTGACTTTGGAGGTTTTAGATGGTTTATATTTCAACTTGTGGGATATAGTCCTCTACACTTACAAAAATAAAAAAACCAAACGAAACCAAACGAGCCCTGTATATCATACCTAGACCTGTCATCTACCCCATAAAGTAGAGCAGTGAACACCATCTGCTTGCGAGAAGTGTGTGAGAAAGAGGAAGTTTGCCCAAAGTTTGAAGAATTTTGAGGAAACAAACTTCGAAAAAGAACTTGGGGAGTGCAAGAATGGAAAGCGATATTATTTTTTTTGTGGGTCCGATAGCAATTATGTTTTCTTATATCCCTGGTGTTGGAAACAACCCCTCAATCCTAGTGGTTGAGGTAAGGTCTGCATACATCATAGTTCCTACCTCTATCAGACCCTACGTTCGAGTAGGATATACTGGATTTGTTTGATTTGGTTTGGTTCGTTTTGGCTTTTATATCCCCAGTTCTGATCTTTTCTTCTATGGTTTCTTGAGTCTTTAGGAATGTGATATGGATCTTGATGGGGGACTCAACCGCGAAGAATTTGAGGAGTTTATGAAAAGGCTAACAGCCGATACCTTTGTGTATGTTACGCAAGGGTTGATTATCACACTAGCCATAGCACCAACGGTTGCTATAGCAACAAAGAGGTCGACTGAGGGTGTTCCGGGCATTGGAAAGGTGGTTCAGAAGCTACCCAATTCGGTATATGCAGGCCTTATCACTTTTGCAGTTATGATGATCCAGAAAGCTAACGAGTAAATTGGCGTCGAAGTTTAAAAAGTTGTTGATTTGGGTTGTTGTTCTTCAAGTTATGTATATAAAAACTACCAATAATCCTGAAATGTCAAGATTTGAGTAAAATGTGATCAAAGGGTTTTGTAAGATGCACTAATATAAGCTGTGGATGGATTTCAATTGTTCTTCAAATATAATTACATGTATATTAATGTATCTACTTGTGCCAGATTTCTTACTATGTTTGTATATTAGTCTTAGAGTTGTTTATTCAGTAAGCTTTTAGGGAGAGTTTTGTGCAGAAAACCAAGTTTTTTCCAAATATGTCTTCCCAATTAGAAAAACAAACTCATTTTATCTATAAAAAAACTCTCCCAAACAAAAATCTTCTCAATCTATACAGACGAATTAATCCACACAGACAGCTTTATTCATACACGACTTAATAAAAAACCAACCAAATAGTCCCTAAGACGTGCTTAGACTAAGACGTTTGTCTAAACCAAGATCAGTGGTAGTTCATCTGTGTTGTGTATTAAAAAAACAATATGCATGAATGAAATTGCCATTTTTACTCTTCATATTGTGTCTCAAGTAACTCATCAGATCGTATTTCAAGAAATACACACGTTTTTTTAATCGTGTCTAATTTCACTTTAGATTGTTCAAGGTTTAGATACTTAAGCCACTAATTGCAAAGTTACCATTTTTTACAACAGAAACTATAAAGAAGAAAACAAAGAGCAAATTCTTGAGTATACAAATTAAGCTGTAAGTCCATTAAATACGTAAACAGACAATCTTTAAGACTAGGTTGAAAATATAAGACGGGACCAAAAAGATTGGAACCAATTAAGTCGGTTCATAACAAGTTAGACTCGCCACTTATCCATTGGTTTTCAACTTAGTATTGGGATTAAAAACGTTAGTTAGAATCCGGCCCGAACCCAGTTAGCTTCACGTGAACATTTTATTTATTTTTTCAATTATTTATTACGTGTGAGAGACACAAATTATAACTTAGGGGCCGTTTACCAAACACTTACCCGGTAAGCGTTTACCGATAAATTTAACATTATCATTTACTTACCGGGTAAGATTTTAGTCCACCAAAACGGTATCGTACGCAACAATTTACCTGGTAAGCGCTTACCATGGTAAGAGTCATCCCGGGTAAGACTCTTGGTCTTTGTCTCGCTCTTATCGGGTAAGATTTTTGGTCTTTACCATATTCATACAGTAAGGTAACGTAACTTGATGTTTACTTACCCGAGTAAGTGTTTGGTAAACAGTCTCTTAATGTATTTTTCAATTCCTTTTTACTTCTAATAAAACATTTCTAAGGCATCCTTAGAAAATAAAATGCACATGACATATTTACCCTTTCAAAAGGTGCATGTATTCGAGTCTCCGACATTTGGTCATTTTAACAGCCAAAAAATCATAGGAAAGAATAAAAAGTTGTTAACAGAAAGAAGAATGTCTAAACCGTTCAATAAATTGAATTTTCTGTTGAAATTTGTAGAACTAGAAGTTGTTTGATAAACTTGGATATTATGACTCAGTCTAACGACAGATTTCGTGATTTGCACCAAAAAATAGTTAGAGATTGAAAAAATTTCCACAAAATTGAACCCTATAATCTATCAACATATAAGGTCGGAAATTTGCCAACCTTACCAAACGTACGGCAACGCCTTGAAGAGTGGGCGTGAGATAGAAAAAATCGCAAAAACTGAAAGAATATTGAGAATGAGATATTCAAACACAGAGAAATTTACGAAACAACGAAATAATTAAAATAATGGAGGATAAAGAGGAGGAAGAGATACTGGTACCTTTAATCTCGTCCCTATTATGCATTTTTGTAGTTGTTGGTGCGGTATTTCTTGCTCTCTATGTTTGTACGCCCAAACATACTCCGCCATGGTTACATATCGTTGCTCTACTCCTTATCGGTTCCCCCTGGATCTTCTGGCTGTTGATGTATGTGTACATGTGCATAAAATCTTGTTGTCGTCGTGTGGCAGGATCGAGAGCCGAAAAAACGCAAGATAAAAGGGCAGCCCCCTGAGCCCATATACGGAAGGGTCATGGTTGGTCATGGCTAGACCACAGGTATAGGTATATCTAGAGATTAGTACACATAGGAAACAAAATCACCCAATGGCAACGGGAGGCATGTATGTTGTGGCAATCATGGTGGTAGCAGATGACAGGAGTCGAGATAGGAGGGCAGACCATGGGAATTCAACTAGAAAATCCTTCGAGAACATTTGTACCATCTCGATGCATGAAGAACATGTAAATACTGACGTTTATTGTACTTTTTCAACAGTTGGTATTGCATGTTTATAACTGATATAGATTTATGTTAATTAAAATTTATTATTTATGATATAAGATATAATATTGTTGAGCATGTCTCGCGTAAATAAGATAGTTTCGGATAATGATCATGGTGATGACAATGACGTACATGCAAATATAGTCGGGTTTTCTCTAATTTTCATTTATGTTGTTTCATCCTAAACGTGTACAACGCAAAATTTGGTCCCTAATGATCATAAATCTGACATTGATTGTGTCTGTAGTCTTGCCTCCGACGCCTAATGTATGATGTGATCCCAATAGTTAGAGATTCTGGATCTGTCACTAGTCATGATCGATCATATAATTTGAACTTCAGGTACCCTTTTTATTTTTTTCTCGATACGTTCCCATCTCAGCGCCCGAAAGAGAAAAACTGATAAATGACAAACAACATTCATGGTTTATATGAATGTTATGCGTTCTCTTACAGATCGTTTGATAAAAACATCCTTAGAAAAATATGCACCAATTTAACGATCATCTATTTCGTAAACTAAATTACTTGATAATACAATTATATACTTTATAAAAGTGACCAAATCTTCTATATAAGGAGATTATTTATTAACCATTTGATCGATCTTTTATGTATGTTTAAACAATATATTGGGTTTTTTTAAAATTTTCTCCTGCTAAATCTTCGTTTAGTTTTCCATCTTAACAACAGAAAAAGGGATTGATCAAAGTTTTATTGGGGTTGTTTGTTTACCTCTTAATAGTTCCATTAAGAGGCAACCTCTGAATCGTTAAGAGGTGAATCATGTTTGACAAAAAAAAACTACATCTTAATGGTTCTAAAACCCTCTGAATGATTTTATATCATGGATCTCCCTCAACCATTAAGAGCCCAAATTTCATTATACACAATTACCAAATAATTATATTTTATTATACACTATATCATGAGAGCCTCTTAATTATTCTAACTACTTAATCATTCTACACCAAATCATTCAGCAATTGTCAAACAGACTCTCAATCTGACTTATAGTTATCATTTATCAAAAAATACTCTAGTTACAATATTAAATAAATTGCCCAATTATTTTGATGCATCGGTTTGGAATTGAAACCTTGAAATAGACGGTGTTCGTTAATCTCCGTTAAAGACTCTCCTACCTTCTTCAATTATCGATCGATCGGTGTAATGGCCAAGATTCACAAAACCCTAGCACTTCTCATCTCGGTGATGATTATATGTTCCGTTGAAACCCTTGCAAAGAAATCTCGCCGCCCAATTTCTGTGAGTTTACAAGATTTCGATTGAAGTTTTAAACAGATTCCCTTTCAATCTCATCTACGTTTGATTAATTTCGGAATTTGATTTTGTATTTGGGTGTTTCAGGACATTGAGATTCGAGAAAAGAAGCAGAGTTGCTACGCAGACATTGAACTGTATGTTCGATCTTCCCCTTTTTAGTTCCCCAAAAATGAAGCATTGAAAATTTGTGTTCTTATGATGCTTGACTGTCTGTTTTTTGTGGTCGTTTGCTGGTATTGTCTTAGGGTTCATACTTTACCTAAACAATAACAGAATACTCAATCTTAAACAGGTTGAATTTTGGTCATAGCTACTACGTTTGACCTTCAATGTTGTAAAGCATTCATGAAATTTCGACGAGAAAGAAATGGATCTTTGCTATCTTCCTTGAAGTCGCAACATTTTCCTTGTGGGGTATCAACGAAAATTGGACCATTTTCATCATAAACTTAAAATTTCTGAGATTTTCATGAGAGTAAAAATTATATAGAAACCATAAAAACCAATTTGTATGTGTTGTTTCATAGATGAAACATCACATGAAGACATTCGGTGTTGATACAGTGTTGTTTTGTAAATGAAATGTCAAACAGTGTTTTGCTTGTGAAAAAAACACAAATTCGTTTATCATGAAGCACACAGTCATACTCACACAAGAACAATCACATGTGAAACAATATGAATCAGAGCTTAAATCAAACTCATTGGATCGTCTGATTGATTTTTACGGGTTGGTTTTTACATGTGTTGTTTCATCTATGAAACAACACATGAAATTGGTTTTTACAGTTTCTAACTTTTAGCTGGTTTCTATATGATTTGACATCTTGTTTACCCAAGGTCCTTTGATTAAATGACCTTCTAACAGATTTTTTAAATCATTGATGTTCTGACAGATTTAATAATGGCTCTGCTTAAACAAAACAATGTCACTTCCATACAAGAATGTCTAGAAACCTGTCAAAGGTAATGGATTAAAAAGCACTTGTCAGAGCAGAGATCATTTAGCTAAATAATCCTTTACCCAACCTCAAAAGAAGAAGCAAAGTTGATTTGATGTTAACATTTTATATATGACTGACAAAGAAAAAATGTTAAGTAGACTCATCCAATAAAGCAAACAAGCAAGAAGAACATGTATGCTTTCTCTTTGTATTCCTATCCATACTGATTTATTGCTGTACCTTTGTGGCTGGATAAGTGGATACTGGGGTTCAGAATGCAAGTCTTCAATGGTTGCAAAGGAGAATTGTGCTTTAAAATGCTTATCACCAACTTGCTATGAGCTTATTTATGAGAGTGATCCGGTAAGAAACAGCTAAATTCGGTACATCATCTGAACCATGCCGTTTGACTACGATTGATATGCTTATTCTTTCATGCTTCTATCAGCTGGAAGAAGGGGAGAGAGATTATGTGAGGAGCCAGGAGTACAAGTATTGTATGCACAGGTTAGATTTCTTGCTGTTAAAGACAATACCTCAATTATAATTGTGATTTTAGTTACAAGTTTTCATATTAACAGCTCCCTAGATAGAATTACAACAATTAGGGTGTTTTGTTGACGAGGGGAAGGTTCATTTAGGAACCTCAAATATTTTATGAACCGTCTTCTTTTGCGAGTATTCATGATGGATATTATTCATTATAAATATTTTATCACGACATTCATAATAAATACTCACAAAAAGGATGGTTCCTGGTTCCTAAATGAACCTTCCTCTTGTTGATGATTATCTCAAGTGTTTTATTCTAAATGCAAGTTACTTCTCTTTGTTGAGGTGTTCAATATGCAACATGCTGAAGGTAGAGATCTATTCTTGTTCTAGGAATCAATCATGTTAATGAAGTAGTATTGTGAGCAGTAAGCATGGTATTTGAATGGCTATTTAAGAGAATTACCTTATGAAAGATTTTTTTGACCTTGAGGCCTTCTTCTGATAGGTAGAGGCATCCTTCACTCTTTAATTAGACGGAGGCGTTAAATCTGTCAGAATGTCATGCATTTAAAAACATGTCAGGAAATTATTCTTCTAAATAACCCGTATTTATTTGAAGTCCAACACGATGAATGGTGTGACATGATATATGTAGGTAGAGATAAAATAGGTAATTCTAGGGAGTAAACCTAGTAGGATGTGATTATTTAATATTTGCATTCAATTAAGATATAGGATATCCTAAATCATATCTGGTGGATGTTAAACGTATTTTGAGTTATCCTTATCGGTTTCATGTTATTCAAAAATTAGAATTTGATAGTATACCATAGTCGAAGTATTCATAAATATAAAATGTTTAAACTATTTTTCAAAATTTTAAAATCCCATTCAGTGGATCATAAATCTTGGGGACCGAAATCATCACCATTGTTCTATTTCTGGTTATGATAATGAGAAAGCAAGTAACTTTGGATATAATTCTTTCTAAAAAGGGAAATGTTTTAGTTTCAATTTGCACCATACATCCCAAAAAGGAAAGTGTTGCCTTTTTTCTTGGGAGGAGGATGTGCATGGACTTGTATGTGGATTTTGAGTGTAAAATGTTCTTCATAATGACTAGCTACATTGCTCCCATCTTGTTCAATTGAGCTCCAACCCGCAAATAAAGGCCATGCCTTTGGGCTCATTCCCATAGGTTGTCGGTTTGAGTCTCCTTAGGGCCATTGGAGACTGTTATCTTCAGGACCATCTTCAGAGTCCCATGAGATTAGTGAGGTTTCGCAAACTGACTTAGATGCCCACGGTTACCAAAAAATATGAATTGGTGTAAGCGTTAGTTTTGCTTGTTTTTCAGATTGTCTTTGGGAGAGAACTTGGATGGCGTTAAAGGTTCTTTCGAGTAGAGGTGCAAGCATAAATTGTTGTTTGAAGACACGGGAAATATCACCCGTAGGCATCGCCGAGTAAACCGAGCCATTGAGAAGTTCATCGATTATTATTGGGAAGGTTTGCTTTCAAAGAAGTGGTTTGCAAAATGTAAGCAATTTGTTTGTGTAGACCTGTTGTTTTAAAAGTTGTCCAGTTTCTGGAAATGATATGACCCTGTGCATTGTCATCTTGTACCTGTCGCTCAAGCTATTGTACCACCATTCGACAGTGCAGAAAGTTATGTTTAGACCATCAACGTGATCATGTTTTTATTTTTGTATAAAATATAAATTTAAAAATATTATAATTTTTTAAAAGTATATATTAATATTAGTATAAATTAACTATCTAATAATATAATTTTTTTTAATAAATTTTTTTAGTACAATTTAATTTGGATTTAATAATAAAATAATTTATTTTTGGTTTAATAATATAAATTTTTTATAAAGATAATAATTAAGAATTATGTTAGAATATAATGATTATCGAAATTAATTTTTAATATTTAAAATAAGATATGTATCTTGAATTTGATTATATTTATCTGTAATTAGTTACATAAATATAAAAATTAAAGCTTTAATAAATTATACTTACACATAATTTATTTGTAATATTGAATTTTAAATAATATGTATCAATAATTACTATAAGGGCAAAATGCACAAAATAGCAATCTATTTGCATAAATTTCTTTATTGTACCATTGTACTTTCAGTTTTTCTTATTATAACAATGTACTTTCAAACTATTTTTTATTAGAACATTGTACTTTGAAAAATTTACCCACTATAGCATTGAGTAATCTTTTAATTTAAATTTATCTATTATACCAGGTTTTCATGTCACCTCATTGTCCATGTAGGTTGTCCACATTGTGATGTGACTTTCTTATTACAACATTATACTTTTAAAATTATTTTATTATAATATCTAATAGTTCTTATTAAACAATGCACTTTTAATTTTAATATTTAGATATTTTACATGTTATTTAATAAATATATTAAATGAATTAAAAAAATTCTAAATTATTTATTAATATACAAATATTAATAAAACTAGTATAAGACAACTTATCTCGCTAATATTTTTTTTTAAATATGTGTTTTTTGAAAAAAGAAAATAAGAATTGTTCATTTTTGACCAAAAAAATATTATCTTTTAAAGAATATATATTATATTTATTTAAAAACTTTTACTTGACTTATAAATATATTAAATTAATTAAATTTTTTTTTGAATTATTTATTAATATAACAATATAAAAAATTGTAGAACACAATTTATTTCGTTAACATTTTAGAGAGAACTTTAAAAGATATGTATTTTTTTTAAAAAACATAAACAAGAAGTGTTACCATTTTTACAAACAAAATATATCTCGAAAATAATGTAGCATATTTATTTAAAAAATATTTTACTCTAGAACATTTAGTTTACATGCAACTTAATAAGAAAAAGTCAAAAAAAATGTATTTTTAAATTATAGCAATGAAAAATAAAAATCACTAATAATAATTTGAAATAAGTTTTTATTTTTATTTTAATTAAGTCATCAAAATGATGTGTCATCCACATCACCTTATTAAAGTCACACAAGCAAAAAAAGTCAAGGGGTTAACCGGTTTAAAAAGTAACAGGTTACCCATTGCTATAATGAGTAGATTTTTTAAAATGTGATGTTTTAATAAAAAATAATTTAAAAATACATTGTTGTAATAAAGAAAAAAAATGTTATAATAATTTTTTTTATGAAAGTAAGTTTTTATTTCATGCATTTAACTCTTACTATAATATGGATTAAACCCAACCATATTTTTCAGTTATCACCCGGCCAAAAGAACCGTTATGCTTATAGAATTATGTACAAAGTACAAGGATTAAAAGATAAAAACAAATACAACTCTTATAAATATTTGTTTTTTAAGGTAAAAATATACTAGTAAATTATGCATAAATAATTATGCATTTGACAAAAAAAATTAAAAACAAATTTTTATATATAAAGTACTGTTTATTGATGCATATTACTTAAAATTCATGAATTACAAATAAATTATGCATAAATACAACTTATTAAAGCTCAATATTTGAATTCGTGTAACTAATTACAGATAAACATAATTAAATAAAGAATAAACATCTTATTTTAAAATATAAAAAATCTAAAATATAATTAGTATAATTATCGAGTTTTAACAAAATAATTAATTATTATCTTTATAAAAAAATTATATTATGAAATCAAATATAAATTACTTTGTTATTGAACCTAAATTAAAATTATAATAAAAAATTGAATTAGAAAATTACACAAAAAAATATGAATTTTAAATAGTTAATTTGATATTAATATCGATATATTTTTGTCAAATTTTTATGATATCTTTAAATTTATATTTTATTCAAAAAAAAATATCGTTTTTTAAAACCATATAAGACCATATTATAACATCGACTGAGATAAAGAATAAAATAAAATATTAAAATCAAAATGTATCTTGTTACATTGCACGAATACCCTTCTAATATTTTTAAAATATAATTAGTATGGGGTTTTGGTTTATCGGATTCTGATAAAAACTTAATTGAATTAAAATGAACCAAAATTTATTGTGCTTTTGGTTCTCTCATTGGGGTTTATTATGGAATTCAAATTCCATCAATAACTAAATTCAGATTTTTTTGGGATATGGTAAAAAAGAAAGTTAATGTGAAAATCGTAAAAATGGATCTTCACCCTTGGATGCACATTAGGATGAGATGCACCGACATGTACCGGATCAATCACGGTATCAAACACGATTCATTGGTAAGTTTTAGATAAAAGGTGATTAAGGGTTCAGATTTCTTTTTACGCTTCTCACACGATCATTTGCGTTATTCAATATCCACGAATGATTAAATGTAGATTCTTTGGGTCTCAATAAAGAATGGAAACTCTCTTCTTTGCTCTCTTACGAGAACATCTATTTTATCTTTAACCTTAACCTTACACGAAACCAATATGCAAAGCTCTCGACCTAAAGTTGATCTGAAATCACTAACCTTCCACAAAATCGATTTGTAGCCTAATAATCATACCAACTACAACAACCGGACTACCTTCTATTGGACCAACTGCAACCTCGTCAAACCAACTAGAACTGTCGAACCACATTCTACAATCAAACGACAACGCTCTTGATCAAAACTGGTCGGACCACAAAATTCCTAGCTAAGAATCCTACTCTAAGAGGGTGTTACATCATTCTTGGTGTTGCTTTTTGAATCTTGGGTGGGCATTTGTTTCCTAATTTTGAGCATGTTTGGGTAATTATTTCCGAATTCTAAGATTATTTAGTAATTAGTTTTTTGAATATTTGAAAACAACTGATAGTTGTTGCTCTTCTACTTTTGCTTGATTTAAAATGATGTTATGGTGTTGATTAATTTAAAAGAGTGTTATATATCAACAAGGGTGGTGCCTGATGGTATGAGTTTGGCTCCAAAGGTCAAAAGTACCGGAAGTCCTAGGTTCAAATCCAATGAGGAATAAAAATCCCCTTATGACCACGGAGGTTCAAATGCGGTGACTCCGGGCTATCTGCAAAACAGGTGGTCGTCTTGGGATTAGTCAGCTCGCATAACGGGTTGGATATCCAGGTTAATAAAAAAAAACATACGGTAAATGGATAAGATTCAAAAGAGTTGGCAATTGTGTATCCTGCGGTGAAATTGTAAAACTAATGTAGAGCAGAAAGCATGATGTATCTTGTGTAAGACGTCACCAATACACACTTGCGATGTCAAGAATACAGATGCTTATGATGTAGAGAAACTGATGACACCTTATATTACACATAACAAACACATAGGTGTTATTACTAACGATAGAAAAAATTGGAAATATACAAACCTGAAAGATTTAAAAAATTCCTCATAGTCTTCTACTGTGTATAGAGGCAACGTTAAATGATACGTTCTATTAGAACTTTGGTTAAAAAATATTAAGAATTGTATAAAAATACTCAACAAAATTACTGATTACTAATAAAAATAATTTTCAAATCCCTTTTTTTAAAACCGCCACTAAAGTAGAACTCCTGCAATGTTGATATTTTTCTGTGTTTAGCCATAATAGCTCTGAATCTGTTGCCAAAAGTACTTCTGCATCCCACAAAAACAGAGATACGATTCAAAATGCAAAAATCGGACGTCTTCTTTATTACATGGTTCTGGACGTGGAATTGATGAGAAGGATGATGGGAGGGACATCGGCGTCTTGGTGGAGATTCAGGGTCACAAAGGAGAGAACTGAAGAAACGGGGTGGTGGGGGAGGTGATGGGTTTGAAGACAATTAATGTTTCAAATATTCAGGAAACTGTAAAATAAAAAAAAATTGAAAAATTGAGAAAAAAGAGATTGTCAAATGCTCAATAGATAGGATGCCACGTAAGAGTTCCGTTGTTTTCCTTTTATATATAGATATAGATTCTTTACGGTTTCATCTTAAATCGAATGCTCCATCAATATGGAATTAACAACTTTCATGTTTTATCAAGTTGGTATGTGTTTTGTTGTTTTTCCTTTTGTAAAATTTATTTACGTCACATCAGTATCGTTGTTCATCCTACATAAATTTTCTAGGTAACATCATCATGAACGTGTCAAACCTTTTAGTTTTCATTTATTTTATGTTTAAATTGCTTTTCATCCTTCCTCCACTAAATCATTTATAAGCTACAATCAAATGAAATGAAATTAACTGTTGATTCTCTCTATCAGTGATTTAATGATTATTTTTACAAAACTCACACCACAGAACCTTTAGCGATATCGAAGATAAAGTTGAAAACAGAGACAAACAAGTTTGTGATATGATGTGGTTTTCAATGATAACAAGCTCGTCTATACAAGTGTGAAATGTACTCAAGATTCAGCGAACACTGAAGAAACCTCAGTGTTATTCCGGTGTCAGCAATCAAATGAATCTTGTTGAACAATATTAGTTTTTGTCTTGTCATTCTACACACAAAGAACAAACCCATACCTTTCAAAGTAAAGTATTGTACGGAGTCATTCTACTGTTTCCAAATGTGTTTACCTACTTTGTGAAAGACATTGATCATATTCGGCTAAAGCATGTATATTTGCAACAAAGGACAAGCTCACCTCTTGAAATTTGTCATGTGTTTTGTACCTTATGAATTGCACTTAATGCGATGAGTATAAATAGTTGAGAAGTTCTTCCTTATTAGTTGTCTTCT